TTTGGATATTCTGACGCGGCATATTCTGGCATGGCATATTTGAGCTTTATCATTTTAGCATGATTTGATATACAAGTACGTATAGTATTTTCTGGAAAGTATACAGGTTTTACAGAGAGGGGTTATAACTTTTGAGAATGAAATGATTTTGAAAAGCTTTGTTTTTGCTCACTCACGTTTTCTGTTTTACACCCCTCCAGGTTTTAGGTAGCGAGGATGTGGGTGACGAAAAAGGCATCGAGGCATTTCTGACAGAGCATCCTCCATGTAGGACTTTCTGGTTAACACTTGTGTAGTGTTTGTTTATTCTGGACTGCACCTAGGATACTTGAACTTCTACTTTGCATTTTTCCTTCTATGTTTGTTACTAGTACTCAATGATCTTTTTATTGTAAATTATCTCGTCGACTTTATTTTCCTCGTATTTTCACTCTTCTACTTCCACATTACGCACTTGGCTACATCACCCTCACGTGACGGCCAACACGCCCCAATTTTTGGATTAAGTGTGCCATCGCGCCTAGGCTGGGTTATCCATTGGACGCCTAGGTTACACCCCCGCCTTTTAATACATTGTTACCAATGCAATGTTTAAATATTTTTATACTTTTTAATTCATTTTCTTTCATTACCAATGTAAAGAAAATATGTCACATCCCTGCCTGGGGCGGACCACTTCCCGGGCCCGCTCCACCACCGTAGCACGATATTGTCCGCTTTGGGCTTACCATTCATTCACGGTTTTGTTTTTGGGAACTCACGAGCAACTTCCCAGTGGGTCACCCATCATGGGATTGCTCTAGCCCCCTTCTCGCTTAACTTCGGAGTTCCTACGGAACCCGAAGCCAGTGAGCTCCCAAAGGGCCTCGTGCTAGGTAGGGATGAGAATATACATTTAAGGATCACTCCCCTGGGTGATGTGGGATGTCACAAAATAAAAATTAAATATTATTTTATGTTTAAAATTTGACATATTAGATGGAGAGAAAAAAAATTTAAAATGTCAAAATGACACTTAAGCTGCCAAATTTTAATTTTGTTTAAAATTTAACCTCTCTTTGAAGATGGTGTAAGAAATAAAAAATTGAATAAAATGGGTGGACAACAAAACCCTAATATCATGTCATTAATATGCCTTTGAATCATGACATTGACTTTATATTTATTCAAACTGCATAAGTTATGTACCATGCATACATTTAATGATGAAATAAGTTGTATAATAAATGAAGATAAAAGATACAAGAGAAATTATAAAGTAGTGGAGAGTCATATTTAAAGAGAATATTTTTAACATTTTTCAAGTTACAATCCAATGTCAAAATGTCATTAGAGGCATTTTAGGCATCCGAAGATACACACTGGGTGAAATCAAACTTAATTAATAAATTTTCGTAGTTAGAGTCTAATCATTGAGTTTTTGTTAGGAAAAAGAAAAATGTTAATGAGATTATTTTAAAATGAAATTCTTTATAGACTATCTATCATTTTATAATAACATTCATTTTTCCTCTCACATGCTCTTATTAAATTTTTATTGATAAATTTATTTAATTTATTTGATCCAACGATAAAAAATTAAACGAGTGTGCAAAAAGTAAAATGAATTTGTAGCAATACCCTACAATTAAGATTGGTTATCCCACGGAGATTGAGTAATTCGACTCTTTTCTTGCTCAAACGAGGATTGTCAGATACGATTATATTATTTAATTCCTTTAATAACAAAAATTAGTAATAAAAATATTATTTAATAGTTGCCTCTCATGGGGCAATGTACGGTCCACTTGTCAGTATTATTAAAGCACCTCACCGCACCGGCAGTTTCCATACGAGTCCAAAACTGCAAAGCAATAACGACGGAAGAATTAAAAAGGAATCAACAAAATACTCCCAAATGCAAAAAGAGGTCCAGGTTCATCCTCTGCTGAACACCAAGATTTGTACCTGCACTCCCTAGAAAATTAAGCCCCAAATCATGCTTTCCCACTCAAATCGCACCATCCTGAATTTGATATCCTGTTGATAAGACTTCCCCTTTGTCCCTACCTGTCAAATTACACTTTTGATTCTTTCATTTTTTTTAATCCCACAAATAATCCTCCATTATTATCAACTTAATTATAAACTCCTAACCAAATTCTGCTCCTCTGAAGCACCCAGACAGTCAGAAATTAAAAACAGGGGCCTTTGGACCTTGGTCACCTCCTTCAATGGCGTCCATGGCCACCCTTTTCGTCAACACCCCCTACCCCTCTCACTCTTTCCCCAAGCCGTCATCTGCCCATTTCGCCCCCGTCCTCAAGCTCTCAACCCATCTCGGGTCCAAGCCCAGGACCCGCCAAAGGCTCCGAATTTCAAACGGCTTGATCGAGCCGGACGGCGGGAAGCTGGCGGAGCTCTTCGTCAAGGAGTCGAAGAAAGGCGAGACGAAGAAAGAGGCGGCGGCGCTGCCCAGGATCAATCTTTCAAGGATTGACCTCCAATGGGTTCACGTGATCAGCGAAGGCTGGTCGAGCCCTCTCCGTGGATTCATGAGAGAATCCGAGTTCCTCCAAACACTTCATTTCAATTCTCTCCGACTCGATGACGGGTCGGTCGTGAATATGTCGGTGCCGATAGTCCTGGCCATCGACGACGCGCAGAAACGCCGTATCGGCGAGTCGACCCGTGTCGCGCTCCTCGACTCGGATGATAATCTGATCGCTATTTTGAAAGAGTAAGATGCTCTTCTATTTTCTTTTCGGAGCTTGTGTTTTTTTTATATATTTTACTAGCATACAGGCGTGTGCGAAAATTTTTTATTTTTATTTTCGAAATAGGAGGAAGGAAGATAGTAATAGAAAACGTGAGTGTGGAAATATGTTGTTTAATTTTTTTTTTTTTTCAATTAGAAATATGTTAGGATTGCAGGTTAAGTTTTGAAAAAAAAAAAGAACAACAAAATTTAATTACGTGAAATTACATTTTTGTCTTATATTTCTTATTCATATTCCCTTTTAATTAAAAGGTCAAACTGGTAATTTGCGGTGTTTACTCGGTCTCATTTGTTGTTGTATTCCCTGTTTGATCTTGTGGCCGTTTCATTTTTATACTCCTCTTTCCTTAAATTGTCTGTTAACACGTTACCTAAGTTTTCATTGCAACTTTTATCCCCACCATCGTGGCATTATAACATTGGGTTCTACAACATCGTTGCGATTTCCTTGCAATGATGTAGTTTGCATGTCGTATATTTCTGGCCTATTACTGGTTGTATATGTATATCTATGTCATCATGTGATGCATACCATGTCGTAGAACACTGTGATAATGCTATGGTGGTAGGGGGAAAGTTGGGAAGTGTAGTACTCTACTTTCTCGTTTATGTGTCTGACGATAAAACCTGAGTATGCGAACATGTTCTGCTCATTTTGGATTCAAATTGTAGTTACTGTATGAAAGTTGTACATCTTATCCCATGACTTACCATGGTTTCTAATACCTCGCTATTTTATTTATTTGATCATATCAGTATTGAGATCTATAAGCACCTTAAAGAAGAACGGATTGCCCGCACTTGGGGAACAACTGCCCCTGGTTTGCCTTATGTTGATCAAGCCATAACCAATGCTGGAAACTGGCTGATTGGAGGTGACCTAGAGGTTCTAGACCCTATAAAGTACAATGATGGCCTTGATCGCTTCCGATTGTCTCCTACACAACTCCGTGAAGAATTTACAAAGCGCAATGCTGACGCTGTATTTGCGTTTCAGCTGCGAAATCCTGTTCATAATGGACATGCTTTACTGATGACCGATACCCGTCGTCGACTTCTTGAGATGGGATACAAGAACCCCATTCTCTTGCTTCATCCATTGGGAGGCTATACAAAGGCAGATGACGTCCCACTTAGTTGGCGAATGAAACAACATGAGAAGGTTAAAACTTGTTGTTTGTTGAAAGCCCTAACTAAATTGCGTGCAGTGATGCTGGAACCGATACGTATTGTATAGAACTGCTTGTCCTTAGCCAAATACTGATTCTGTTTGATATCATCTAATGTTCCCTCAGGTTCTTGAGGATGGTGTTCTTGATCCTGAGACGACTGTGGTTTCCATATTCCCCTCTCCCATGCACTATGCTGGCCCAACTGAGGTGCAGTGGCACGCAAAGGCTAGGATTAATGCAGGCGCTAACTTTTACATTGTTGGTCGGGACCCTGCAGGGATGGGTCATCCAACAGAGAATAGAGATCTGTATGATGCCGATCATGGCAAGAAAGTATTAAGTATGGCACCTGGACTTGAGAGACTTAACATCCTTCCCTTCAAGGTAAATAAATTAATTGGTTGTGATACTTCTTGTCCTTCTTCTATGATATCTTTCGTCATCGTTAAGTTATTCCCTTGCAGGTTGCTGCTTATGATAAAACTCAAGGTAAAATGGCATTTTTTGATCCCTCAAGGCCTCAAGACTTCCTTTTCATATCCGGCACAAAGGTACATGTCCTTTTAATGTTATATCCAACAAGTTTCTTTACTGTTATAATCAACCCTTCAAAGTAGTATTTAAAGAAACACACATTGCGTTTAAGTGTATAAGTTTGTTTTATCTAAAACAAGCTTCAAATTACCATGACAGATGCGAACACTTGCAAGGAACAAAGAGAACCCTCCCGAAGGATTCATGTGCCCTAATGGCTGGAAGGTGCTTGTCGACTACTATGATAGTTTGGTTCCTGCGGACAATGATAGAGTCCCAGAAGCAGTTCCAGCTTAGATGGAACCGATGCATCATATTGTACTTTCACTGTTTGTTTGGGAGGTAGCTAATTTAGTCTCTTCTGTGCGATCAAGATTACTTGATCGCTAATTAGTCTCCTTTGTGTGATCAAGATTTCCTAAGATTCTCTCACCAGTTTCTAATAAAACCATGTGAGGTTTTGGTGCAGAGATACGATACTCGCCTCAACTGTAATTAACGCCCCGTAATTGCATCTTGCATCGCTGTATTTGTGCATGCCCGCATCGCATGTACTGTGGTTTTCTTCCATAGAACAGAGATAATGCTATGCCTTTAAATTTGTCAAAACCCTCCTCTATTGTATGCACCGGCTATAATTTAAGGTGTTGAACAAAAGAAAAGCATGATCAAATCTAAATTTCTTGGATGACAGATTGACTTCTGAACATTTTTAGATATGAGAACCAGCATTCTTTCTCCACACATACCATCGGCGCAGCAGCTCTTACCGCCTCCGCCTCCGCCTTCGCCACCACCACAATTCCACGCCACCCATCCAGAACCATCCATACTCATTGCATTCAACCATGCACCGTCAATCTTATTTAATTGCTCCATAATTTTACACACTGAATTCTATATTACTCTAATTTACAGGGTGGGGGATTTGAAGTTGCATTAAATTCTATATTACTCTAATATATAGGGTGGGGGATTTGAACTTGGGTGCAATGCTACAGGTACTTTGCCTCGGCCAACTGCTCTAACCCACGTTTACTATCCCAGAGCTGAATATTGGCTTAGCAGGAACTGGTATGAACTTGAAAACCCAACTAATAGGCCAAGATATGGCTGCAATCCCAATGCATGCACCCCACTGTCCCCAACTTAACGGCTCTGTATCTGCAAACTTGTTCAGAAGTTCCACCATAACCACCTGAACTGCAATTGTTACGACGACGATGCCCCAAAACAGCTTGTTCCTCTGACTCCCTCCGAAGACATTAACCCTCTCCATATCCCTTGAATTAAACTCATTAAACACTTGGCAAAACACAAATACATTGAAGAGCAACGTGTTGTTTACCTTCTCACTAACACCAAATATTGATCTGCCTTTGAACTGCAAGATCAAGAGCACAACTATCTGGAACAAAGCTTGGGGTATAAGGTTCCTCCACATGACGTTGGTGATCACAGGATCCGTCTGACCCACGGGTGGCCTTTCCATGAGCTCTTTGGCGGGCTTATCGGTGGCGAGTGCTAGAGCCGCCATTGTATCCATAATCAGATTCACCCACAATAGCTGGACCGCTGTTAAAGGTACTTCGCCAGCCGAGGCAGCTGCCACAAAGTTGACCACAAGAGTTGCAACATTTATTGTGAGCTGGAATTGAACAAACTTTTGGATGTTGGCATAAACTCCTCTTCCCCATCTTAAAACAGTTACCAAAGTTGCAAAGTTGTCATCTAAAATGACAATGTCTGAGCTCTCCTTCGCCACTTCCGTGCCCTGAATTCCCATCGAGAGTCCTATGTCCGCTTCTTTGAGTGCGGGCGCATCATTCGTGCCATCACCTGTCACAGCTACTACATTGCCTTTCTGTTTCAAGCACTGCACCATCAGAAGCTTATCAAATGGCGAAGACCTCGCCATCACGTGAATTCCATCAACTTTCTGCATTCTTTGCTCTGGCGTGTAGTTGCGAAATTCTATACCTGCTACCACTGCTTCCTTGGCTTCCTGGTCAGGCCGGAGTATCCCGCACTCGCTAGCTATTGCTGTAGCGGTGAAAACATTGTCGCCGGTGATCATTTTCACCTGCACCCCGGCTAACTGACAAGCTTCTACGGCATCCATCACTCCTGGCCGACATGGATCCTTTAGACCTACCAATCCTAAAAGGATCAAGCTGCTTTCTTCGAGCTTTTCGTACTTATTTTCGTCATTAATGTGCTTTTCCTGAACTTGTTTGTGTGCAAATGCAATGCATCGGAGACTGCTTGCTGCCATGCCTTGAATAATCTGCTCAAACTTCAACCTTTCATCATCATTCAGATCTTTCGTGACACCAGATGCATCGTAGTAACTCGAGCATATTTCTAGTAACATTTCTGCAGCTCCTTTCCAATGCACATGGGTAGTATTGTCAGCCTTCCTTCTCATCAAAACCCCACTTCGTTTCTTATGCGAATTGAAGACTTCAACATGTTGAATGACACATTGCTTCTTCAATTCCTCCATGTCCATGTGCAGCTCCAGAGTAGCCCATGAAAGAATGGCTTTTTCAGTAGGACTGCCCGAAAACTCAAATCCCGATCCTGAACTAGGCCTATAAACACTACCGGTTGTGTTAAACGCTACTCCTTCTCGAATTAAATCGAGAAGACAATGAGAAGTTGATGAATAACCAGCATCATCTTCCACAGATTCATGTCCAAGCCAAAACTTTGTAACCTTCATCTCGTTGAGCGTTAGTGTGCCTGTCTTGTCTGTGCAAATTACGGTGGCACATCCCATTGTTTCGCAAGCAGAGAGCCTCCTTACCAATGCTTGGTCCGCCATCATCTTCTTCATCGAATAAGCAAGAGTCAGAGTGACAGCCAACGGGAAGCCTTCAGGAATTGCAATCACAATAACAATAACTGCAACTGCTACCATATCTACCACCGCATTCACCACATCATCAATCTTCATCTTGCTGCCCTCAAACTTGCCAAATTCACTCTTGCTCTTTGTGTTGCCCGTGAAGTAACGTGCTAACAAGACCACGAAAACTATGAGTGCAACACCCAAACCAATCTTCGCCATCAGCGGGGTTAGTTTACTTAGCCGCGCTTGTAATGGCGTCTGCTGATCACTCGTGTCACGACTGATTAAGCTCATCATTTCGCCCCATGTTGAGTTCATGCCAACTGAAGCCACAAGCAATTCGCCATATCCATCAACGACCTTGGTTCCTGAAAACAAGAACGGATTATGGCCGCCATTAACTTCCACATGCTCACTCTCCCCCGTCATGCTTGATTCGTCCATGCGCAATGAATGTCCACGCAAGAACAATCCATCAGCAGGAACTTGATCCCCAATCTTCAAGAACACAACATCTCCAACAACAATATCGAGGGTTGAAATCTGTTGCCTCCTCCCACCTCTCACAACATCAATTGGAATGTCCTCATTTGCTTTGGACAACTTCCGGAATTGCTTGTTCTGCTTGTAGTCACTAAAGGCAGATACAGCCACGATAAGAAAAACCGCAACAAAGATGCTTCCTCCATCATACCATCCTTCTTTTAGTCCATGCTGCTTTATGCCGAATCCAAGTGAGAGCGCAGCGCAGCCTAAGAGGATGACAATGGTAAGATCCTTAGAAGCTTGCCGCATAAAATGGAAGAGGCTTTTTGAAGGCGGCTTCTTGTACGTGTTTGAACCGAATGCTTCAAGCCGGCGAGCGATGTTGTCACCATCATCGTCGATGCCACGCTCAATGTCGGTTTGGAGAGCTGATACAACGCCATCAATGCCTTCGAGCTCTCGAAGAAGGTGTAGGTTTTTCTCCTTGATGAGTTGAGTGAGGCATTTGTTATCAATTTTGAAACCATTGTTGAGGTGACAAAGTTCCATTGGTTGTGATAGAAGCAGCTATTGAGAGGCGCTGAAAAATTGCTTGAACTTGGCGCTATGATTGGCATTATTTGTAGGGATGGTGATTGGCGCACAATCAACAAGTCACACACTGACACACCAAACGCCAAACCCACCTGCCTTAGCCAACATCTATGCAGAATCAACCTTGCTTTTCCAACCTCCACCGTGCTTCTTCTTCCTTTTACTATACTTTTACAAGTTAGTGGAAATTTCTTTTTCCTCCAAATGGTTAAATATAAATTTTAGAAATTTCGTTTTCCTCCAAATGGTTAAATATAAATTTTACATCATTCATCGGTACGCTGTAGCTAATCGAAGCTTGGAAATTTTGTTTCTAAGTGGGACTCCCCCCCCCCCCCCCCCCCCCCCCCCCCCCCCGGTTGTTGTGCTTCCTGTGAAAGGTTTCATTAACTTCATAATTTATGTCGAGTAGACCTTGTTCTTGTGAGAATTATTAATTGATTAGTTGTAGGGAGGGACTTATGTCACCACAAACAGAGACTAAAGCAAGTGTTGGATTCAAAGCTGGTGTTAAAGATTATAAATTGACTTATTATACTCCTGACTATGAAACCAAAGATACTGATATTTTGGCAGCATTTCGAGTAACTCCTCAACCTGGAGTTCCACCTGAGGAAGCAGGGGCCGCGGTAGCTGCTGAATCTTCTACTGGTACATGGACAACTGTATGGACTGACGGTCTGACCAGTCTTGATCGTTACAAAGGTCGATGCTACCACATCGAGCCTGTTCCACTAATACTTTATTTTATTTTTTATTTTTAGCGTAAATGTCAATTAGAGATAAATAAGTTTATATTCCAGTAGTGCTTTATTTAATTTTTTTTTTTTAAGCATAAGTATGATTTAGAGAAATAAACTTGTATTGTAGTAGTCTTCATGCATAAGCTAACACAGATGCAAGGGACTATGCCACCCAAACCAACTAGGGGAAGTCGCACGTCCCATCGCAAGTACCTACAATGTCATTATAAATATAAAATGTAGAAAAATCTCGCCATACGTCACGAATTAGATGACAAACACAATCCGACAATTTTATTATTATCGGCACTACTTGCCCGTAACTATACTTTTTTGAATCTTGCATTATGCACGACTTACAAAAACATTCTTCGCCATATATGTAGTACTACATGCATTTGTATTTGCATACTTTTGTTCAAAGGTTGAACCAAATATACGATAAGGTATTAAATTTTCTAATCGGATACATTATTTCTCTTTACTAACGGCACCGTACATGTGAAGCAGCAGCCCCACCAACTGGTCAATCCAGTCAAAGCATCGGCTTGTAGGCCAAATGATTCCTCTTTGGTTTGGAGCTGTAAGCAGCCCTCACTGCTGGGCGTCTCGCAGAGCGACCCTCATCGAGGACGTTGAGACTTTTCAGAAGAAAAAAATAGGTTTTTTGGCTTAATCCATCTTTACTAAAGATCAAAGAGTACACTTCGGCTCCGGCTAATAAAGGAAGGTTTTTTTTTTTCAAATCCAAATTTGACTCTGATTAGATCCTTAACGAAAGCGTTAAGTAAGCAAGCCAGAACACATCCTATTTTTACCTTTGCTCAAACATTGGTTTTAGCTTCTTTTTTTTTTTCCTATCACACACTACATATGCTTTTATTTTTCACTAACCTCTCTGCACACACTCACACGCATGTAAAAAGCTTTCTTTAATTACGAGATCTCCTGCCTCCTAAATTGTGTTGTATTAGCTGTTTTATTTCTCATATTGTGTTGTATTAGCTGTTTTCTTTCTCATAATGCATCATAAAAAGAAACATATCCATTGGAAGTCGCTGAGAAATTGCTTGAACCTGGCACTATTATCTATAGGGAAGGCGATTGTTGCAGAGTCAACCGGTCACACCCCGACAAAGGTTGTAGCTAATCAAAGTTTGGAAATTTTGTCTTCTGAGTTGGACTCCCCCCCGGTTGTTGTGCTTCCTTTTTATTTTATTTTTTATTTTTAGTGTAAGTGTCAATCAAAGATAAATAAGTAAAGCATTCCTGTGAAAAGTTTCATTAACTTCATAATTTATGTTGAGTAGACTCTTTTTTTAAAAGAATTATTAATTGATTAGTTGTAGGGAGGGCCTTATGTCATCACAAACAGAGACTAAAGCTAAGTGTTGGATTGAAAGCTATAGTTAAGATTATAAATTGACTTATTATACTCCTGACTCTCAAACAAAAGATACTGATATTTTGGCAAAATTTCAAGTAACTCCTCGACCTGGAGTTCCACCTAAGGAAGCAAGGGCCGCAATAGCTGCTAAATCTTCTAATGGTACATGGAAAACTGTATGGACTAATGGTCTTACCGATCTTGATCGTTACAAAGGTTGATGCTACCACATCAAGCCTGTTCCACTAGTGCTTTATTTTATTTGTTATTTGTTATTTTTTATTTTTAGCATAAACGTCAATTAGAGATAAATAAGTTTATATTCCAGCAGTTCTTCATTTTTTTATTTTTTTAACCATAATTGTCATTTGCATAAATAAATTTAAATTCTAGTAGTCTTCATGCACAAGCTAACAAAGATGCATAGGACTATGCTGCCCAAACCAACTAAGGGAAGTCGTATCCGTCACATCGCAAGCACCTACAATGCCATTATAAATATAGAATGTTGAAGAATATTGTCATACGTCACAAATTAGATGACAATGAAAAGTCAAAGCATTAAAGATAAGAATTAATTACCCAAAGCATTAAAGATATGGATTAATTACCCAAAACTTATCTTTAATACATTCCCAATTGAAGATTGTAAGTAATCCATATTTAAATCAAGGGAAAATTTTTGAAATGTCATATGAACTTATACGCATTTTTCAATTTGTCATATAAACTAAAATTTTAAGCAATTTGTCATCTCTCCCTAACTCTGTTAAGTTTTCCATCCAATATAAGTCATGTGCCTCACACATGACTTGTTTTTAGGGTTATTTCAATCATTTTAATACCTTACTTCCCTTTTGCTAAGTTGTATTCAACCAAAAACCGTAGAGTTTCTCAGGTAATGGAGCAATATTTTTTATATGATAGCAATGAAATGATCATGCAATGCACTCTTTTCTAGTCATTCCAAATAGGTAATGATACACAAGTGGGAGTCTGCATTTTAGCATGCGAAGACATAATCTCATATGTGCTCTATAAGAAACAGGTTTACGTTTTGTGCCATAAATGGAGTTGTAGATACATATGCGCTAAAGAAAAGTAAAAAAAATTAAGTGTTTGTACTCAAGAAAAGTTAAAAACTTGTGAAAAGATGTTAAAATGACCTAAATAACCCGAACACAAGTCATGTGCCACACACATGACTTATATTGGATGGAAAACTTAACAGAGTTAGAGTGAAATGACAAATTAATGATAGTTGGTATGACAAATTGCTTAAAATTTTAGTTTATATGACAAATTGAAAATTTTGAACAAGTTCATATGACATTTCAAAAAAATTAGGGATATTTATACCACTATCTCAAGATATTATTTCCTATTTAATATCTGGAGAATATTCTTTCCATACACATTGGCAAATAGATGCCACCATGTGTATGGTAAAAACCCTACATCATGGCCAACTTTCTCCCCTATATACATCTCCAATACTACCAAATTTCAGTAAGTTTTTGCTACTCCTAAATGCCTTAAACATATACTCTTTTTCAAAGAAACTAACTTACATCGAAGATCCATTGGCCTAAACCCCCCCCCCCCCCAACCCAAAAAAAAAAACCCCACCTCCTGGGCGCGTGAGGCTTTTAATCAAAAGTGTTGATTGTTTTACATGTGCATTTTCATCAAAGTGAGGGACGGCGGAAATTTACATCAACAATTATTAGTCTTTTGGTTGTCTTTTGTTTTATTCAATTCAAATCAAATGTCATATCAAAAAATATGTATATGAGAAAAAAGATATGGTGAAATTCATTTTGTATATAAAAAAATAATCCAAGGGTTCATGAATATCTCATTCGAGGCCACTATTGATGGTCTTCTCAGCATGCCTAACCAACCTTAATTTCTCATCCAATAAACTTGCATGATCAAATTGAAAGCGAAATTATGAATATTCTTTTGGAGTTTGGAAGTAGAGTTTTGTGTACATGGCTTTGCTTAATCCTCCTCAATCATGAAGGGTAGCAAAATAAAAAGATTGTAACATTATTTTTGTAACGCCCCACCAATTTATATCAGAATTTACATTTAGTGGTATGCCAAAAATGTCATAGTTACCCTTTATGTTAATAATCATTCTAACATTTCTTTCTTTGACAATTTTCCACTAATATTTAGTCTCGTTTATTTTATGGCTACATCTAACTTTTCGTTAAACTGCTTATGTACCCTTCAGAGGGATCAAGCCAATCGTAGTTCGCAATTCATTTTTAATCCATTTTCTAAATCATTCAAGTGACTAGCAATCACAAAACTAGGTTCAAACAAATGAATCACACCAAATGTATATCAAATATGGATTCATAATATCAAAATTAGCTTAAAAAGACAGCATCGACCCTCTGCCCACGCGCCGCCGCAGATGGCGATTTTTGACAAACGAAAATCCAATTTTCTGACGAACTTCAAAAATTACCAAATTTTACAGGGTTGTAGAACACGAGGGGAAGAATTTTCATACATGGGCCGAAGTCCAATTCGGTCGGGAAACACCTGAAATCAGTCTTGGAAATTGGTGTTTTTGATTCGACACCAAAACGAACTCCGACGCCCTAACTAAAGCATGGGCTTTGTTCCTGAGGGTGAAAGGAGTCTAATGGTGGTGGTGGTTGATGAAATTTGCTTCAAAAATGGCGGATCGCCACCACGGGACCTTCGACCTACCCACCGCCGTTCTTCGCCAAATTGAGCAAATATTCATCGGGTTTTGAGTGTAAAAGCAGGAAAGAGAGTTGTGGAGTTGATTCTATGAGGTATCTCGGCGTAATTCGTTGACAATTGGTCGGAAAACCATCAGATTCCATCGTCTCTGGCCGGGTTGGGTCCCAAGGAAGATGGATTGGGGGTGATTTCGTGTCTCTCCCCTCTCTATTCCCCTCCTTTCTTCCTTTCCTCATTGACATGTTCCTTCCTCTCTCTTCCCTCATTGGTCCCCTTCTTCCTTTCCCCTCTCCCTTCTC